GTGAGTGAGTGAGTGAGTGAGTGAGTGAGTGAGTGAGTGAGTGAGTGAGTGAGTGAGTGAGTGGGTGAGTGAGTGAGTGAGTGAGTGAGTGAGTGGGTGGGTGGGAATCATCATCTCTTCCTGCAACCCGCCACCACCTACCTCTGCGTCCACACGTCGGCGGCCAACCGCATTCTACGAGAGAAAAACACACTCCTCAGGACTCGAACTTCGCCGACGGCAGCTCCGCAAGTATCACTCACCGCGGCGGCGTTGATCTCGCCAAAAACAAAAAAAAGAAATTATGCATCAAATCGCCGCGACGACGTTGACCGAACCATGTCGGCCCGCGTTGGTGTCGTATTGTCCGACCATGGACCTGGTGGCGACGGTGGCGAGGCGGAGGACCCAAAACGACCACGGAGAGGGACAGGTCGGCGTGTGGAGGTTGAACGGGCAGTGCGTGTTCGAGGCCCAGTTCGAACGTGGTGACACCGGCGGCGGCGGCGGCGGCGTCGATGAGGATGACACGGGCCAGGGTGACGACGACGACTCGAAGAGAAATGAAGAAGACGAAGAAGGATGGATCAGAGGCCTGGCTTGGAGAAGGGACGGTGAGTTCTCACACGTACTTCCTCTCTCCCTTCTCGTTGAACACCTGCTATAACGGAACGCGTCTCTCTCTCTCTCTCTCTCTCTCTCTCTCTCTCTTCCCTTCTCGTCAACATCTACCGCACGGTACTGTTTGAGGGTTTCAAACTGCCAACTACCGATTACTGACGTACGAGACATTTTCTGACTTGCTCAACTCTCTCTTTTCTCCAGGACAAATGCTGGCAGTCGCCTGTGCAGATAGTACCGTCGCCTTGATCAACGCGTTTACAGGCAAGATCGCACATCGAATCACTACCGCGGCCACGGTGTCACAGTCATCATCATCATCACAATCACAATCACAATCACAATCAAGCTCAAAATCCCCACGCCCTCACACACCCTCTTCCACTCCCACTTGCATCTCTTGGAACACGCACTTTGCTGCCCCTACGTCCTCAGCCATACGGACACGTCTGGAGGGACCCGATTCTCAAGTCACCCTCGACGAGATCCTCGGACTCAGAGCCGACGTGGACAAGCTCCTCCGCATGAAGGCCGACTTGCCCCGCGAGCTGGGCGCGCTGGACATCGAGGTATCTCTACCTAAATTGGCCACGCTGCCTCCTCTCGGCGTGGGCAGCGACGACGACATCTTCAGCTCCAGATCAAGCATTGACGCCGTGTTCCATGCCAATGGCCAAGCCGGGTCTGGTCATGGCGATTCCGTTGACCGTGTCGATGCGCTGCTGGTCGGCTTACAAAGTGACAACGGCGGCCACAGATGTGCCGTACATATCCGCATCTTTGACTCCTTCGAGATTGGGACGGTGGATGTCGGTGCGTGTCTGCCTGGTGGTTCCAAGGGTGGCAAAGTCGTCAAGATTGAGAGTCACCCTTTCTTGTCGACTGCCCTTCTTGTTGTGGAACAGATGACAGACGACGGCCCCGCGACTCTGCACTTGCTCGGTCTGGACATGAGCTTCATCTCCCAGACGGGCAGGCATCTGCCTGTCGTGGCGAAGAAGGCGACACAGCTGGGCAATTTGTTGCGTTACGTCGCCCAGATCCACACGCAGCTTGCGTCTGAAGTCAAGGCCGCTTTTGATCTCCCGGGCAGATTTCTCCGGAACATCAACGAGTACCTCGGCGACGGAGACGACTACGTTGACTTTGTGCACGCCGCACACCATCTAGCCGTCACGGGCGAGTGCGATGGCAAGCTGAAAGAGTGGTTGGTTGACGAGGTTGGAGAAAGGGGTCTGAAGAGGTGGGAGAAGGCCGTCGGGGATTGCCTTGACATTGTCCGGCGACTGACGAGCGAATGTCTCATGCCGGCGTTGGAGAGATGTCAAGTGGTGTTGACGAGACTCGATGGCCTCGCACAGTTTGGTCCGACGAGCTCGCGGTTAGGCCTGGAGGAGAAGAACGTGAGAAAGGTCATGGAGACCGTGAATGCCCTGGGGATTCTCGCCGAGGACCTCCTCGCCGATGTCAAGGTGGAGATTGTCGAGTTTACTGCATTCATGAAGTGGCTGAAGTGGGAGTGTGAAGTCGAAGCCCTCGAGGAGACCAGTGAAAGGGCTGCGGAGCTCAGAGAATCATGGACGGGCGAGAACGAGTTGCTGAGGGTGTTGGACTATGTCGGTGGCGCCATGAAGGACAGCAGAATCAAGAAATACATCGTCCCAGACGGCCCCGAGCAGTCGGCAGGTGCGCTGATCGAGGACGATACCGACGCTGGCTTCTTCCTCGACTACATGAAGAGACGAGCGGCTCCTCCGCCAAAGGCTAAGAAGAACAAGAGTATGCCTACCTTTGGCCAAGTGGTCGGACGCCTGCAGACGCAGGCCGAGAGAGTCTTCGCACAGATTGCAGAGACTTTCAGAAAGAGCATACTGCCCAGTCACATGCTGGAGTTTCCGAGACGATGTGATGGACGCCGGTTGGATCTCAGAATCGTGCCGGACGTCCATGACAGGACCATCTACCGGCTCTATTGCATGGCAAGGGACCGTTCCGAAGAAGGCAGTCTACAGTACATCAAGTCCATCATGCAGCAGGATGGAGGAGGCAAAGGTCTGCGTTTCGGTCCGGCTGAACTGCCGCCAGCTCGGATTCGCGAGGCGAAGAGCATCCTAGACGTCAAGTTTGTCGACGAGGACACATGCATGGTTCTCGCCACAACGGAAACTGACATCAGGATATTCTCACGGCTCCTCGCGAGCGATGTCCAGGCAGACAATTGGGAAGTACATCATGTTTTTGACTCTGGTAGGATGAACGCTGGAATGACACCGGCGAGACTCGAAGTCAATGGGAGGGTAGGAAGGAGGGCCGTTGCGGTTGTAGATGACGCTGGTCTGGGATATACTGTGCTCGACCTCGATGCTGCTGATGGATCTGTGGAGGAAGAAGGCGAAGAAATGGACGACGAGATCATGACCGGATGATGCTGATAGCTGGGACAATGATGTCTGCGAATGTGATTAACACCGAGAACCAATGTGACGATGAAGAAAAGTATTGGCCACGTCTCGAGCCAACATAAAACAACAGATAGTGAGGCTGTGAGGCACTGCCGTTCCAAGCGAGGCCGGATCAAAACCCAACGATTGGGCTCACTAGGCCTGGGCGAGACCTACGGACATCAATTGATCGATTGGGTGGTGATAGACTTTGCCTTTGGCCCAGCCTCAGCCTCGGCCTGAGGATGAGGCTCAAACAATGTGCCGCTGTCAGAGAGAGAACGTCCATAGGAGAAGCAGGTGGCCAGAGGATGTCGATGCCGTGAGCAGGGTACATACCTAGGCAGTTAGATACCCGGTCTTTTTGGATAGACAAGCACTGTCAAGGGTTGTTGTGTGGGAGAGTGAGGATATTGTAGGTACCATGGGACTGTAATAGTGTAACAAGGAGTCTGAGGCTCTAACTAGTTAGCTGGGCAGTGACGGTCGTACTAGACGGTTAGGGGGACTTCGGCTCTGGCTTGGGCGACGTATTAGCGGGCGTTACGGCGAGTCGCAGGCGCAGGCAGGAGTCACTAAGCACATGCGTTCAGGCCCTAGTTGGACCCCGTAGAGCGTCAACATCCCACATCAATCCCAATTCTGCTGCAAAACACCACAGTCGTGCAGAGGCAGTTAATTCGCAGCCCTTGGTCGCTCTCGCTCTCGCTCTCAAAAACATCGACCGCCTTTCTCTCTCTCATCTTTCCGCTTCTGAACACACATCCCGCAGGTCGTTCTCTCCTTTGACATCCAGACCTGCGTATCGCCCGCCGATTGTTCTCTTCCAGAATTAAAATCCTCCCTTTGGGCCCTCCTCCTTGACTAGACGACGCACTTTGCAGCCTTCTCGCGCAGCCGGATTTTTGACCACCCTGTTCCCGTCTCTTCTTGACCGCTGGTCGACTCAGCAGCCATGGACGTCAACTCAGTCTTGGAGAACACTTTTTCTCCGGGTAAGTACATCACGTCGATCTGTCAGAACTGCCTCGTTCTGGCATCTCTAACTGTGTCCAGATGCAACGATTCGAGGCAATGCGGAAGAACAACTGAGACAGGCCCGTGAGGGAAATTTTGTACGTCTTCTCAAATTCCATTCGAATCCTCCTCTCCCAGTATCAGCACCTCAACTAATACTATTTGTGCCCTCTGACAGTCCGAATACCTTTCTATCCTCTCACGAGAACTTGCCAACGACCAGGCCAGCGCGGCAGTTCGACAGGCCGCCGGCCTCGCCTTGAAAAATGCCTTTTCCTATCGTGACATCACCCGCTTAAGAGAAGTCCAGGCACGATGGCTACAGGGCGTGGACCTTCAGATCAAGCGACAGGTCAAAGAGCTGGCTCTCAAGACACTCAACGCCACACCGCAAGCCGCCCTTTCCGCCGCACAGCTCATTGCAACCGTCGCTGCCATCGAGCTGCCCCGCAATGAGTGGCCCGATCTGATGCCTGCTCTCGTGCACAATGTCGGTGCCGGAGAGGACAAACTCAAACAGTCGAGTTTGACCACCATTGGCTTCATCTGCGAGTCGGACGATCTCGAGCTCCGCGAGTCCCTGGTCGGATACTCGAATGCCATCCTCACGGCCGTGGTCCAGGGAGCGAGAAAGGAAGAATCCAACCAGGACGTGCGGTTGTCCGCCCTGTCTGCTCTCAGCGACGCCACCGAGTTTATTCGCAGCAACTTTGAGAATGAAGGCGAAAGAAACTACATCATGCAGGTCGTGTGCGAGGCCACCCAATCACAGGATACGAGGGTGCAGGCGGCTGCTTTCGGATGTCTCAACCGGATAATGGGCATCTATTACGATAAGATGAGGTTTTACATGGAAAAGGCCTTGTTCGGCTTGACGATTGCGGGTATGAAGAATGACGAGGAAGATGTGGCCAAGTTGGCTATTGAGTTCTGGTGCACGGTCTGTGAGGAAGAAATCAGCATCGAAGATGACAACACGCAAGCACAGCAAGAAGGCTCCACTGAACTACGACCGTACTTCCACTTCGCTAGAGTCGCAGCCCGAGAAGTCGTTCCAGTTCTGCTTCAGCTGATGACCAAGGTGACGGAGGATGACGCCGAGGACGAGTACAACACTGCCCGCGCCGCTTACCAATGTCTGCAACTCTATGCACAAACAATCGGAGGCGAGATTGTCCCAACCGTTCTGGCCTTTGTCGAACAGAACCTGCGCAGTGAAGACTGGACCAAGCGGGACGCAGCCGTATCCTCGTTCGGTGCAATCATGGACGGTCCCGAGATCAAGACTCTGGATCCCCTGGTCAAACAGGCACTCCCGGTCCTGATAGGCATGATGCAGGATCCTGTCGTCCAAGTACAAGATTCGGCGGCATATGCACTAAGCAGAATCTGTGACTACTGTTCGGACTGTATCGACCCATCAACACATCTCCAGCCTCTCATGTCAGCTCTTTTCAATGGCTTGATGGCCAACCCAAAGATTGCGGCGTCGTGCTGCCTGGCACTTTTGAATTTGACGGAGCGATTTGTGGGTGAAGACGGAGCTGCTGCAAATCCTCTGACACCACATTTCCAGGACAGTGTCACTTCACTATTGGCGGTCACAGAAAAAGAAGGGGCTAGCAATCAACTTCGAACTGCCGCTTATGAGGTTCTTGGCGGTTTCGTGACCAATGCGGCTCACGATAGCTTACAGATTGTGGCAGAATTGTCCAACGTCATCATCCAACGACTGGAGAACACCATCCCCATGCAGAAGCAAATTGTTAGCATTGATGACAAGATCACTCTGGAAGAGCTGCAAGTAAGCTTGAGCAGTGTCTTGCTCGCCATTGTCCAACGACTCGAACAAAACATTGCTCCTCAAGCCGATCGAGTAATGCAAATCTCCTTGGAGATCCTCAATGCTACAGGCCAGACCTCAGTCCCCGAAGTCATTTTTCAGATTGTCAGCGGATTGGCAAACGCTCTGGCGGGAGACTTTCTCAAGTACATGGACTCTTTTGTCCCGTATCTCTACAGCGCCTTGGGCAATCAAGATGCTCCGGATATGTGCTCTTTGGCCATTGGTCTTGTCAGCGACATCGTCCGCGCGTTGGAGGACAAGGCACAACCTTATTGCGACACGTTTATGAACTACCTCTTGAACAACCTTAGAGTATGTTGTGCTTGGTGTTTTGACAGCCAGTAACTAACTCGACACAGTCCGATAAACTTGCCAACCAACTCAAGCCTCCGATCCTCGAGACCTTTGGTGATGTCGCTACCAGCATTGGTGAGCACTTTGAGACCTATCTGACGGTGGTCGCCCAAGTTCTTCAACAGGCGAATAACGTCTCTGTCGCGAATGACGTTTCATTCGATATGCTTGACTACATTGTCTCTCTTCGTTCGGGTATCGCTGATGCTTGGTCCGGCCTGATTCTAGCTTTCAAGGGGACAGAGAAAGGTGAGTTACATTGTCACTAGAAACCCTGTCGCCCTTGCTTACATTACATCCTAGTGCAACTTCTTCAAAACTACGTACCAGCGATTTTCGAGTTTCTGCAAACAGTGTCAAATGACTTGAATCGCAACGAAGGGCTTCTGAGGGCTTGTATGGGCATTATTGCGTAAGTCACTTCTTGACTTGATATGCCTTTTGTTCATTACTGACGGCCTTGTTTAAGTGACCTCGGCGAGGCGTTCCCAGACGGATCACTCTCAAGCTATTATAGACAAGAATGGGTCACAAAGCTTATCAAAGAAACTCGAGCTAGTCGCGAATTCTCACAACGAACCATTGCCGCGGCACGTTGGGCAAGGGAACAAGTCAAACGACAGACTCAACATCAAGGTACCGTCATGACTTGATGTCGAGAATCTATCTAGTCCCGATTATGCCTATCCATCTCCCCGGCATCGACCACCGCCGTCCCACACCATCCTTGCCCAACACTAGCACCAGCACCAGCACCAGCACCATCACCAAGCACAGAACCAAGCACAGCACAGCAGTCCCCAGTCTGTCAGAGCGCTGATCACCGGTCGTTGAAAAGGTCATTTCTCATCAGAAGCCGATACCATTGTGGAATCGGCTGAAGCTGACGACGAATCAGCCCTTCAACGATACGGAGTTAATGGTCACGCCGACAAGCGACAACCCTTCCGGCACCACCAGAGTGGCATTCAGTCACAGCACCCCGTGCAATCACCTCGACAAGTAATGTCTACTCGTCCACTTTGTCCGAGACCATTGCTTTTCCTGCCGCCTGACTACTACAGCGCGCAAGCCGATCCTCGTTGCCACGATGTCAATTGTGAATTGACCCCAAGTCGGATCCCGGGATGGGTCACCCGATCCTCTCTGGACGAAGATTCAGTCTCGATCTTTTCCTGAATTCCAGTCATTCCTGGAAGCCCGTTCTTGGATGAATGAATCACAAGGGGTGATCGAGAGCAGGTAGCATGGACAATCATGGCAGGTGCCTTGGCAGGGCTGAATATTCCAACTGGCGCGTTGATTTGGAAATACACAGACAGAGCACCATGATACCCCCTCCCATAATTCTCTCGCCCTTTGCTTCCCTCCTCCTTCGCACCATTTCCCCCTTTTCCCCACCCATCTTTTCGCTGTTCGAAGAGTTAGGCTTGGAGTTTTGCGAAAATGGCACTTTAGACGATTACAAGAGTGTAATTTCAAGGACTCATGATACGGTTGTAGACTAGGTAGTCACTTAAGTGTGAACTCCCTTGAGACTTTGTTCCCACATTGAGGCTAGTGGCAGACAGACTGGCAAACAGAGACAGATTAGCATTATGTGTGTTGTTTTTGCTGTTTGCTGCCACGATCGGTCGATTGTCGATTGTTCGAGTGAGTTTGCTCTGGATTCTTCACAGTTGACTATCGCTTACTCTTTTGCTCGGGCCAAAGCATATTACAGTAGTCCGTTGGCTGTCGTGGTTTCGTCGATTTCCGTAGGCGCGCGAAGGACACCCTGTTTGGTCAGTATTTATGCTCCCCCTTCACCTCACCTTCTCCTGCGACGATACGGCCAGCGTCCAGCGATCTTGAATGAAAACAACGCTGTTCAATACCAGTGACTCTGTCGGGCGCTTGGAAGGACCATTGAAATTTCTGTGGTCAAGCCAACAGCAGCAGTAACTGGGACCGCGAGCCGGCCTCGAAGCAGCCCTTGGCGAAATTACCAAGAGTGGTGGGTTCATGTCGCTCTTCACAACGGTGATCCCGCAATGTATCTGGCTCTCTGCATGCCTCGTCGATGTCGAATCGCGACGGGCAAGGGATGCGAACTGGACTTCACAATATTGAGGCGCCCGTACGGCTGGAATGTTGGACGGGGCTGGCACGGTCAGTTCAGACCTTTCCACCTGACGAAAGATTGCAGAAGTCAACCGCGAGTATCGTTGGGGTCTGTTACCGATAACGCGAGTGGGGAACAAATACTACGAGGGGAGCTCAGCAGCTCGACGACTTTCCTATCTATGTCCGTATCTATCAATCGAAAAAAGAAAAAGCTACACTGGTCCAATCCGAGGATCACTCGAGATAGACACAAGGGAACAAATCAGATTCGATAGCTCCTGGCCACGTCGGTGGATATTTGACAACTCCTTGATAAGTGATGGTCGCGTTGAACGGTGGCTAGTTAGTGTGGCATACTAGTTGGCCCCAGCGGTGGGGTTCTTTGGACCGCTGTCCCCAAAGGGGGTCACAAGGGAATAGAAGGCCCAGCTTTCCCTCGACCGCGAGGAGATGGATAATAATGGTGACTTGAACACCCTCCCCCCACCACCAGGGCAACCAAAAGACGGCTTCGCCAGTACTCTCCGCCGTGGTAGCAGAAGAAGATCGGTACCCATGTCTGAGCAGAACGAGTCCCCTCTGAGATCGAGGGCTGCGAGCGACGAGGACTATTACAGGCCTACGAAACGAGCCCGGCAGGCTTGCGTGAACTGCAGGTGCGTACTCCGGATCTCAGACGACATCCGTTATAGCATTGCTCACGGAGTTGACTATCTAGACGGAAAAAGGTGCGCTGCTCTGGTGATCGACCTGCATGCACGTACTGTGCACGGCTCTGCCAGAAATGCTCCTACTCGGATGGATCCCAACTACAACCCCGCGTGTCTGGCGCGGTCTCGTTGTATGCCTCAGACAATTCGACAATGTCCGCGGCGGTGGGCGGTGCTGCCGAATGCAAGAGTGAGCCGATCGACTTACATTCACTCGCGCGGCAGCTGGCGTCTCTTCAGTCCAGTATCCAAAGGTGAAGCTGAAATGCTCCTGGGGTGTTAGTGGGAGAGTCGACTGACAAATGGTAATTGCATCAAGCCTCACATCTAGGATGGACCGAGATAATGTCCCACGCGCGGGCTCAAAGTTCGACAAGTTCGGCCCAGAGGAGCTCGAACGTGAAGCTACGGTGCCTGATCGTGCTCTCCTGTCCGCAGCCGATCTTTACTTTCGCTATTGTCACAACCAACCCTACTCGATCTTCCACGAGGCTAGTTTCCGGGAACGTCTGGCGGCTGGCACGGTTCCAAGACACCTGTGCCTGGCGCTGTTGGCGAGTGGGCGGCGGTTCTCGGCCTTGGGACGTCTCCATCCTCTGGACGCGGAAAGAATCTCAGCATATACCGAGCAAGCTTGGAAAAGTGTCTTTTTGATGTCGCCGGCCGTAGCTGAACAGGACGCTGCCGTCTCCCTGGTACAGACGATTCTCCTGCTGTGTGTGATTGACTACTCAGGTAGGTATATTGTTGAATGACCTAGAGAACCCTATCTTGCAGAGTGATAACCTTGGATAGATGGGCGATGTGCGGCTGCCTGGATCAAACTTGGATTTGGAATTCGAATCGCGCAGTGCTACCGTCTCAACATGGAGCCGCCGTCAGGTCTGAACCCAGCACAGAGAGAGGAGCGCAGAAGAGTGTTCTGGTCGGTGTACCTGCTGGACAGACTGGTGTCTTGCGGCAGAGATCGGCCCCCGGCCATCCAAGAGGATGACTGCAAACTGCAGCTGCCGTCCAACGAGCAGTGCTTCCGAGAAGGCTCAGAGCATCCAACTTCGACATTGGACTTGCTCGTTGGGGATGCCCCAATCGTAACATCCCTACCGGCCCAAAGTCATTTTGCCCTCCTCATACTCATGGCTACCACCCTGAATCACGTTGTTCAATATACTCTACGCGAGGACAAGAACCACCGCCATGTTGTCCCTTGGTCGTCTACATCTCGATACGCGGCACTGGAGTCGACTTTGTTGCGGCTGGAGCTGAATTATGGCATGAATCAGCCCTTGGAGGCCGTCTTGACCGGAGCCTCGTTGCCTGACGGAGCGGTCGATCCGCAAATTGCTGGCCTGTTGCTCTATGCTCGAGCGCTATTCCATCTGTCTGGATGCCTGCTACACCACCCGTTCCTCCTTCAGCAGCGAATTTCCCTGACGGCGAGTAGGGTGCCACCTGACTTCTTGAACAGAGTCTGGACATCCAGTAAGAGGCATGCAAACGCGCTTTCCATGTTACAGGACGTGCGACGCGTGGGATGCGTGACAGTCTCTTGCTTCCGAGGCTACTGCGCCATGGTTGCTGGCTCCATCCACTCTCTGTTTGCGGGTGGCGGGGTCGAAGTCGAGCGCCAGGCTTCACTCCAACAGTACAACACGTGTTTGGCGTTGTTGAAAGACTTGTCACACTACTGGAAAAGTTCAGCACGCATGGTACGCATTCCTCGACCATGAATCCATCGCAATTGGCTACTATCAATGATCGATTGACTGACTGATGCGCAGGCTACGAGGCTGGAGCGTCTCCACAAAAACTGCGTGCGCTATCGACAAATCCTGGATTTCCACAACGATATCAATGTGCTGCCGAAGCTGACGGCACTTTGGGAGAGTATCGACAATTGGGCGACTCCAACCCGGTCTCCAAGCCCTGTCCCGCAGCAAGAAGGACACGTTGAAGGAGTAGTCAACCAAAATCAATACGGTTCTCTCGCCGACTTTTTCGATTACTCGAACTTCGACTTGTGGGAAGACTCGGTTGGATATCAAAACATGGCACTGGAAACTGGATTTCATGGCATGAATAACCCCTACTTAAGCGTCGAAGCCGGGTGGTTTTAGACTCTGGCTGGTATGGTCAGAGAAGACCCTGTGTAGCCGCCCACTTTTGATTCGGCTCGCGTCTGTCTTTATTGTCCTACCATCCTGTCCTGTCCACTCCTACAGCCTCGGGTCACGCTCCATGATCCTCAATCATGGCTCGATGATGCCAAAACTAACTCAATTGGGATGGGTACCATTTGTGAGGACGAAGAATGTCTTCACAAACGGCCCAACGGAGGTCCAAGTGATCTTCAGGCCTGATGGCAGGGCCACGATGTCCCCGGCTTGGAAGGAGCTCGTCTTTCCGCTCTCATCCTCGGTGACGGTCACCTGGCCTTCCAGTACCATGATAGTCTCGTCCCCAAGGGGGGCACTGTAGGGGAAAACCGCGGAGCCGTCCGGCTTACAGCCTGGCATACCGGGTCCCGTGCGCCAAAGACCGACCTGTAAAGTCCCGGTCGACCCTCTGTTTCGCACCAGACTGACTTCGCCAGCCGTCTGCGGGCCTACTCCCGGCTCATCCCAGGAGAACGGCGTCCAGGAGGCCGGGTTGTCGTTGATGTGGCCTACATACAAGTCGTCTTCTTTGGTTCCTGGGATGGGGCAGTCCCAGATTGTCCAGAATTTCTTCAGAAACGGTGCATTGACGTGCCAGGATAGGTCGACGTGCTTCGGATGCGACAGAATGGAACCTGCTTCGAAGTGATACTTCTTGCCCGTCGCCGTCACCGTCACCTCCGACGACCCTTCTAAGATCAGCATCGTCTCGTCACCGAGCGGCGCCGAGTAGATGACGTCGCATGTGCCGTCGGCGTTGCACCCGGGCATCACGGCACCTGTGCGCCACAGACCTGAAGCCAGGGTCCCAGACGTGCCTCCAGTGCGAATGACCACCACTTCTCCTTTCTGTTGAGGCCCATGGATTGGATCGTCCCAGTCAAATGGTGTCCATTTTCCAGTGGTGCTGCGAGAGCCACTCTCAAGCTCACGTACGGCGGACATTTCTTGACTATGAGTCGGGTAGGACTCAGGATAGATGGCGGTGACAGGTAGTTGTGTCGGGACTGATGTCAAACTTTAAGAGCAGCGACAAAGACAAAGCAGAAAAAACACGAGTTGTCCTTTGAGAAGAGTGGCAAAGGAAGATGGACTGGTTTCACACCGGGTAAACCACGTACAGTATTAATTGTCTTGGAAGCTTTCCTGTGCGTCTCGTTTGCCTCAGCTGGGCTTATCTACAGTTCCTACATGGTAGGGCCGCCTCGTCGGTTGCTCGGCGATGATATGACAAGTATCAGATCTCGGCCCATAACCCTAAGATCTCGGCCCATGGTCAAATGACATGTCCATGGCCTCAGGAGCTGGGCCTTTGCGTGTTGAGTTTGCGATAAGGATTGAGTTCGAGTTCCTCGTCGTGAGGACCAACCCCCTTCGAACTACTTCGCGGTGGGTACGGTCCGAGATTCGGCCCCTTTTCTCAATGATTGGGCCTTCAAGAATGTCATTCCTGGACTGCACACCCTTTAGGGTGTCTAACCCCTTTTGATAGATGAGTCCGGGCCGCGACCGATGCCCGATATCTTTGGGAACGTCGAGTTGGGGATGAAGCCCACTTTCTACTACAACCAAAGGACTGGGTGACGGCGGGTCGGCCAACTGAATCTCGACGTCGATCATCCAGTCTCGCAATCTTTCAGCGAAGCTTTGAGCTCAAACGTCTCCCGAGATACTGCGGGCGGAGAGCTCAACTGGTCCGGAATGCTATCCATGACAATTCCAGGTGGCAGCAACCAACATATCAGTTCTCGCGTGCTAGATAGGAGGAGCACCCGGCGGGTTGGCAAATCCGAAACCATGGCTCGGCTCCCGTGTTCGCGGTACTGTATAGTGGAGACCGACGTGAATGAAGCTGGGCTTGAGATAGACATCCGTCGCCGCAGATCACCATTCGCTGGGTGTCTACGAGATATATTGATAAGTAGCATGGCCTTGAAATATCTTTGTCTTTACCGAGAATCAGTGACGGTCCGCGCGGTATAAATACATAGATACCCATACTTCGCCTCGGTGAGACTCAAGAGTGTCCTGTTGTTACGACATCACTTGCCACTTTCTCCGGGAAAGAAAAGGTCACACATCTCAAGTGGAACTAGACCTTGTCGACTTCGTGCCCTCAGGAAACGGGAAACTCCCAACTATTACTCTTTTGTGAACAGCGGCACGGCACAAACATGTCTGCGATAGAACCTGCCGAGCACGTCGCTGCGACCCACGTGGAACACTCGCACAAGCGGCAATGGAAACCATACACGGTGTTTGCGGTATGTCACTCCAGCTCGAGCCTCATACGATCACGATTACCGTCCCCTGATCAACGTGAAGATGGTCGTGCTGACTGAAGGACGTGCTCTAGATGCTCAGTGCGGGACTGGGTAGCATCGCTTTCGGATATGCGTCTGGAGTCATTGGGCCCACGCTCGGTATGGACATTCCCTGACGGTCGTCATCGAGATATATCATATATACATATGTATATCACATGTCATTATATGCGCGCCGCAGACACTGATCCCGTGTGACGATGCACACAGCACAACCGTCCTTCATTGAATACTTCGAGATGGCCACCAGATCCGATGCTACCAGTCTCGCCTCTTGCATGAATGTCAGTGAACCCGTCTCTCCGCTCCACCTACAATTTCCGTGAGCGCGTTTTTTTTTCTTTTAATAAAAAGAAGAAAAAAGTCAAAATTACTGGGTACTGACCAGCATGGGTGAACTCAGGGACTATTCTTCGCCGGAGCAGCCATCTTCATTCTGACGGTGTATTTCTTTGCGGACAGATGGGGCAGGAAGGCGGCCATCGGAGTCGTAAGTCTAGTTCCTCCTCTTTCTTCTTCACCTTCACCTGCTCGACCCAGTTGAGTGCCGTCAAGGAATAACCGTTCATATGTGTCCAGGCGGCTATAATCATCGCTTTTGCAGGCGCCATGCTTGCTGGTTCAACGAACGTGGGAGAATTCATCTTCTTCCGCTTCGTGTCCGGAGCCGGGTAAGGAATCACCTTTGGGGTCTCACTACTCTCAACCCCCTTTTTTCAGCTTTTAATCAGGCGGTTTGCTTACAATGACGGGGGACAATCAGAACGTACATGATGATGTCGGCGGTCACACTCTGGATGACAGAAGTAGCTCCCCCGGCTGTCCGCGGAGTATTCGTTTCTCTCAACGGCGCCTGTCTACTGTTCGGCTACCACTCGTCTTGCTGGGTGGGCTATGGCTTCTTGTATCTGGATAGCCCAGCCGCGTGGAGGGGCCCTTTTGGTAAGGAAAGAGTCCAACACGGCCCTGTCGAATGGCTTTTGGAATGTACTTGCTGATGCGTGTGTATAGCGATCCAATGCCTGCCGGCTCTCCTTCTTCTCGCCGGTCTCTACTGGTTGCCAGAGTCGCCACGCTGGCTCATCATGAAGGGCCGCCTCGACGAGGCCCGGGACAATCTGCTGAAACTTCACACGCCGGAAGAAGCAAAGATCGAATTCGCGCAGATCCAGACGCAGACCGAAATCGACAAGACCCTTCCGAATTCCTACTGGGCCATGTTTGCCAGGCGCAGCTACCGCAAACGCACGCTGATCGGTATGGGAACATTCGCCGCCATTCAAACTTCGGGCGTCTTGGTCATCAATAGTGAGTTAAACCCCCGTTTTTTTGTTGCTGTGCTGAATACTTCCGGCTAACACTCTTGGTAACAAGACTATGGACCCATGGTGAGAAAGACCCTCCTGTATCGGTATGATTGATGATATTCTGCTATTCTGACACCCGAGTTAGATTTACGGCAGCCTCGGATACGACGTGAACACGCAAATCATGTACGCCGCGGCGTGGCTCACTCTCGGATGGGGCGGCGGATGCCTCGCTTTGTTAGTCGTCGACCGGATTCCTCGTCCCAAGTTCATCGGTTACGGTCTTCTGGGTTGTCAAGCATGCCTCATCATCGAAGCGGCCTTGGTCGCCAACTTCGTCGGAACTACCAACACAGCGGCTCTAAAGGCCGCGGTTGCCATGTTGTTCCTCTTCGTTTTCATCTACGAGTTCGCCATGGACAGTGCGCAATTCGTCTACTTGGGCGAGCTGTTCCCTACCCACCTGAGGGCAAAAGGAGTGTCGCTGGGATGCGGCACCCTTGCGTTGATGAACGTCATGTGGCTGCAAGTTGCCCCGACGGCTTTCAAGTACGTTGTTCAAGCTCCGAAACTGTGGGGTGTTGTCCGTCGCTCGGACAAGGGCTGACATTTGGGCAGGACCATCGGCTGGAAGTTCTACCTTTGCTTCATCATTCCGGGTTGCCTATGTGCCGTCGGGATCCTGTTGTACTTCCCCGACACCTTAGGCCTTCCACTGGAAGAAATTGCGGCGATTTTCGGCGTGAGTCAAAGTTATCGACCTGGAGGGGCCGAGTCCCCCTTTTTTTTGAGGATTGTACTAATAAGTCTCCGTTTAGGACAAAGATGAAATCTTTGTTGGTGTGGCGAACAGCGAGGGTGACGAAGAAGAAGCGGAAAAGGTCGTTGCCTCTGACATCAAGCATGCTTAGGTCAGTGCTCGAGGTGAGCTCTGTTCAAATACTTGGTGGAGAATAGTGTGAGTGGGTGTACCATTGACGACTGGTGTTCTGATTAATAAGAAAGAAGAGCATATCCTCGAGAGAGAGTGGTCTATACTGCTGAGGATACTGTTGTGGAAGGAGAAGTTGCTCAAGCGACAAAGTTTGGTGGACAACGACAATACGTAGAAGAGCGTTTCTAGAAGTTTTAGACTAGATAGACAACTGTGGTTACTGATAGGGGCAAATAACGGCTTCGACCCTAGTATATGTTTCAGAGGGGGGCTCAGCGCCGCTCCTCGAGTAGACATTCCAATTGTTGAAACTTTTAATTCTCCTTTGACAAGGATGATGAAGAGCGGCTGCCGATGAGCCACCAAAACGCTTCAGTATGTCTCTTTATCTGATGATGATTCCCTTTCGACTGTAAAGAAGGATGAGGTGGAGCCAATGTACTACTACTACTCCTTTTAACTGAGAGCGCTCTCATTGTGGGAAATCAACGGTGAAACTTGGAGGCAGCAATCAATTGCGGCTGGCCGTATTTTTTTTTTTTGGTAGTAGAGGGTGTGTGTAGTCGAGATTTGGCCAGCTACATTTGTTAAAGGTGGTCTAGATGAGGCATAGCAGCCAGCGAGCCTCAGGGTACTTGAAAGAGATCCGGCACGGATATTCACATATGAGATGCGTATAACTTGAATTCAGTACGACTCCGTCCAGGGGCACCCGGACAGGAACTCTAGTCTGAGTAGAACAGCAAGCAAAACATCGTGAAGTTTGCGGCGGGCCAATGCAACCGGGGGGTTGAGGAAAAGGCAACGCTCGAGAGAAATCGCCGTGTGCCTTTGGGGTACCTCGTACCTCCACCGTTCAGGGTGTCTCAACTATCATCATAGGTCGGTTTGAGTCTTACAATAAGTGATCAGACCGCTCCGGGCTTCGCTTCCCCAGCTTTCTCCCGTGTGATACAGGGACACGCGGTGGCACAGTGATAGATACATAGGAAACCCCTCGGCGGCCTCCCCCCTCAACCTTTTCCCCCGGTACCACCTTAACATGTGACCTAACTAGTGGTGGTCGCCGCCCGCGTCGTCGCCGTTCTTCTTTCCCTCCTCGTCCGTCGTCGTCGTCGGCACCAAGGCGTCCTTGAAGACCGCAAAGCTGGAAGGCTTCTCCTCCATGACGGGGAAGTGGAAGCCGCACTGGGGGCACTGTTCGCGGAGAACGGCCTGCTCCTGGGCCAAGTCGTACTTCTTGTCCTGGACCAGGTTGCACACGGGGCAGACGCGGAGGAGGCGCGTGCCGACGAGCTCAAAGTTGTTGATGATGTCCTCCATGATGGCGCCGTTGGCCGCCCACGTCTTGCAGTACTTGTGGTAGTCGTTTCTGTGCCAGTCGTACAGCGCGCCGCGGCTGGTCCAGAAGCTGCACTCGTTGTACCAGCTTCGGTCGTCCGGGTGCTCCCACCACGTCAGATGGAGGAACCCGGGCAGGGTCATGAGGTGGCGACGGGTGTCGGCGAAGAGGACCTTGAACTTCTCGTACGCGTCGGGGCTGGAGAACCGCACCCGCTGCATGGACAGGTAGATTGGCATCTTGACCGAGCAACCGTAACTCTCTGATAGATATCCGCAAGGAACAAGGTACCGAGTGTGCGGCGTAGAAGAGTTGTTTTTCTTCTTTTTCCTTCTTTTTGTCTTGGTTTCAGAGTCGAGACGGCTTTCGTGGGAGGCTTATCAGATCGAATCAAGAGAACCAAATGGCGAGGATGTCATTGAGAATGGTAGAAACACACTCACTCACGCACGCGCAGACACACGGGGAAATACAAGTACCGTCTTTCAAGAAGATCAAGTAAGAGTCCGACCACCGAACCTCTTCTCCCGGACCCCCTTCTGCGGTGGTGGGTTTTGAATCTGTGATCTCGGGTTGGACACAACCAGAACCAGAACCGTAATCACGGGTCCCTGATTCGACGTGGCATTCTTCCGGATATGGCTTGCTCATGGTTCTTCGACGCCGCGGTCGCCGAAAGGTAGACCATACCGTCCTGTGTCCCTCGGAATTGCCTGCAAGTTTGCCAACTCCCATTCACTCCCGCCAATGTCTGTGACATGTCACTCCACAACTTTCATAGATAGGCGTTTTTGGAGAGAAATCTTAACTGTGCGATAACGGAAAACACCGCCATTGTTAATATGGTTTCCCTTCCGAACGACCCTGGGGGTCTGGTCTGGTCTCCGTCTTTCTCTCCATGCATGTGTGGAAAGATGGAATGTCCCAACGTCCATTTTCGGTTTTTGGCCCTGCACTGGATTCACTCCACCTTTCCGAGAGCCGTGCAGGACTCCCGTACCCACCACGGGGAGAGGACTCACTGATATAAAGTTTAGCTTCCACTAGTCTAGTCCACTGTAGCTGACATCGACACGACGACGACGGCCACACGAAATCCGTTTGAAGATCGAACGATAAGCAGCGCCAGGTCGTCCACACAAATCAACAGACGCTTATCAGACGGTCTAAATCGTAATTAGACTCGTACCAAGAAAACCAAAAGCCGCCAATTGGCACTGATAGAACGCACGTCTTTGTCGTCGTCGTTATTGTGTATCAACTGAAAAGGCATTGCTCGGTAAAGGCAAAATCCGCAATGGCTCTTACAGCACGGAAGCGGTCCGAATAGCGGTGGGACCCCCCAGGGCAGCAATACCGAGTTGAGAATCATGCCACTGAAAGTACCTAGGGATGACACTGACACGCTGATACACTGATACGCTGATACGCTGATAGTGACGGGTGGCCAGTGACCAGTGGCCTTCAGTATGGGGTGCATCGACTCTTCACTTGCTCAGAGGTCAATCCAATAATCATTGACGACATTTACGTAAAGTTTTGTTCGACGTGATCTTCCAGAGGGAAACGTATCTGTTTGTTACAAACCAACACTTATCTTGACTCAGTTCTTATCAGGCTCCCGGGCAGAGGGGTAGATGAACCTTGACAAGTCGACCACTTATCGAACCAAGGACCGGATGTGGGTCGGCATGATCGGTGCTCTATAGGAGTAGGGCGTGTACAGCAATTGGTTGAAGGATCTAGAACAACCGGGATCTACAGATCCAACTTCCAAGTGAGAGAGGGGGTTGACTGGTATAACTACGAGGGTGGTCGACCCTCGCCTGTTCCCTGTTAAAAGGACCAAGAGCCGCCAGGTAAAGCAGTCTGCTTGTCTGTGGCTCATTGAGTTGAGTACGAATTCGGATTGGTATTGATCCAAAGCTAAGACGAGAAAGAAAGTCTCGATTCTTGGTTCTTGGTAGGCTGTTGTTTTCGCTCATTGTTCCAGGGGAGGGATGAGTGATGTGATCGGACTATACTCATATCTAAACATCCTTGCTCAGGGAGGAGAGAGTCGAGGTTTAGTCAGAGGGAAGAGGATTTGTCCTTCGATTGAGAGGGATGCCGACGAACAAACATAACAGACTGACGTAACGTAACTCGTGCTTCTTCTCCTCCTCTTCCTCCTACCCGCAATGCACATCGCACACACAACCAAGATGCACGTCGCTTCTCACATCACCGGAGCAAGTGACGACCTCAGGTAGGTATAGATAGATGCCGAAGCAGTATCTTCCAAGGATGAGTCCAGCCAGCCGGCTGAAAGCTAGGCAGGTGCGGGATAAAGCTTAATCCTCTTCTCCTTCCTTTCTGTCTTTGGACTGGGAATTGTTGTTGATCTCTCTATATCGTCAAGAGAGTCATGAGTAGTGGCAACGTGGTTCCCAGCATCACATTTCTGAGCACACTTAGCATTCTCATTCAAACCCAATTTGGACTGCGTGTCGTTCTCACCAGCTTGTGCCTGGGCCTGGGACGCTTTTATGTCCTCAGGCGGAACAACACTCCTGTTACTCGTAGACTGTTCTCCGCTTCCCGAGTCCTGCTCCTTCTCTTGTCCAAGTTTTCTTTTGTTGCCCTTTTGCTGATTCGCGCCTTTCTGGCTCTGTAGTTTCTGAACTTTCTTCTTCGCCTGGGACTCCTCAAATCTCTTTCTGTGGGCCTCCTGACGTGCGATTTTTTCGGCATTCTTCCGCTCCTCGATTGCCCTCAGCGCAGCACTGACCTCCTGGCGCTCTTTGTCACGCTTCATCTGTTCAACATCAAACATTCTTGAAATGGCAGGGAAGAGCCGTTTCATCGATGCGATCTGCGAGACTTTGACTCTCATGAGGTCAAAAGCAACACCAATGTTCAGATTGCGAGTCACATCCCCATCCAACCAGGCTGTGGTGTCCGATTTTTCAGGGACACTGGTCGCTTCTTGATGGGCACTGAGCTCAGGGGCCACCGTCATTTCAGCATCATCATCGTCGAGTAAATCCTCTTCGGAAACGTGTTCTGGCATTTTTACGCTGCTGAGCACCGGGATCTTTTGGTACCTTTGACTGAAGTGCGTGAGAATGAGGTTCTTTGCCCTCATGCCCAAAGCAACGCCGACTGCTTCGCCCGTTGTGCAATGCTTCTTGGCCTGCGCATCACCCTCGAGGCCATCGTCGAAAGTGGCTTCGTGAACCAGGACATCGGAATCAGCACCGATCTTGCAGAACGATTCGTTCGGTCGACAATCACCACTGTATGAGAACTTGAACCCGTTGTCGAACGTGACCGAGATTGCTTGGGCACCGTGGCAATGATTTACCTTTACGGTTTTCAACTCTCGGATGGGAACATTAGTCTGCCGAAAGTCGAACGGGGCACCACGTAGTGACATGGCAGGAGATCTTGACCAATGGCAGACGACAGGTGTGCAGAGCGATTCTGTGCGTGTCCCGATTACAGATTGATATTCGTCCATATAGTCAATCATGTTTTCCTCTGATATCAGGCAAGGAGGTGCAGGACGAGATGTGCCTGGACGGGTGAGTGCTTTGCGAGCCGAGCTGGCGGCTTGAAGGACTGTAACGGTACCCAGGTGATGATCCGCATGCAGGTGTGAGATCCAAACAGCCTTGAGGTTGTACAGGATTTCAGCGAGCTGCTCTTTATTGTATAGTCGTTTTAATTGACCCAATGTTCCTTCTCCACAATCAAACAGGTAGTTGCCCATTGCGTGAGGCATCCGAAGTAAAACAGCAGAGACATTGCGATATTTCGATGGTGCCGCAGAGCCGGTTCCCAGCGTTATAATCTCAGGCTCCTCCAGATCATTAGATGACGCGGTCGTCGATCTTCGATATGGCGACATATCTTCGGGAAATAGATCTTTGATCGTTTGGTCCAACTGCATATCTAACGTCGCTAGGTCTTCGGTAGGAGGAACTTCACTGTCATCGAAAACAAGCTTTGGTTCAATGTTGACCTTCAGTCCCCGTGTTGCAGCGACAACTTCAACCTCAGGATCATCAACTTCGATCATCGTCTGCTTGTCTCGTGATGTCTTGGACTTTGTTTGTCGGCTGGGATTGTATCCACTGGAGTTGTCGTATCGAGGCACCGTAAAGAATTCTGAAGCAATTTTGGACAGCCTCAAGGAGGACCGAGCACTCGATGTTTGGGTGATGTAGTCGGTGCCGATATCTGGATGCGATATGATGTGTTTCATGGTCTTTAACTTGCTTAGCAGTGCCTGGAACCGAGGGCTGTAAGGCAAACTGCCTCTGCAGATCCAGACGGCCGCCTCAACGCCCTCAAGCACTTCATCACTCTGGTCATCTAATTTTGATTCAAGATCGAGAAGATGTGAGACAGAGGGGACATCAAAAATCGCGATGCCTCTTCCAGGGCGGCCTGGCTCAAGAACCATATCCGGCGTGATCGTTTCACCTCTATCATTTTCAACACTCTTGCCGGCAACCAGATCCGCAAACCGTTTACCAGGCTTTAGAAAGAGATCTTTTGCCTTCTGAGGCGAAAAGGCCCCTCGCTGTGCATGACCTTTGACAATGTAGGACATCGAGACATTGCTCGGAAGTGCCGAGGCATCAGGCAGTTTCTCGACAGTTGATGCAGGCCAAGGCATACGTACCAATACTGGGGTGTCGAGAGTTAGTCCACCAAGGTTGTTTCGGTCGAGGCATGTGTGCGGTTGCAGCTGTTTTGTCTCTGGATTTCTTGTCCATACCATGGCAGGGAGATTGATGTCGCCGACTTTGGACTCAACAAGTCTATCCTTTTTCCATTCAGAGTCGAACATATTGTTCACAATCTGACTGCGAAGGCCCTGCTCCGTGTCTCTACGAAGCTCGTCGAGTTTGTCCTCATGGAGGATGCGGTCAGAATCAGATAAGGCAGTTGTCTCAGAGTCGTCTTGCGTATCGGTCCTAGGCTCTGTTGCAATCGCCCAGACACGAATATTCTCATCTTCGTGGATCTTTCGCGGCATTTTGTGTTTGGATGCATCGAATTCATGAACCGAAAGCGGCATTCCTGTGCGAAACACAAATCTTCGAGCGCAAGCAAGAGAGTGCAGTTGTTTCGGGCCTCCGTAGATGTTGAGTCTCGGGCGTCGAGCCGAGCCATCGCTTTCAACCTCGCCCTGCTGAACATCAGCCATTGTGAGTATTGTACCGATCAGCCCTCCATTGCTCCATTCAGTCTTTCCGGTCAAGAACAGCCCCCGGATTTTTCGCAGGCCTAGTCCGCGCTGGATAGACGCACGTTGTGTGCCCTCCACAAGTTCTCCAATAAGATATCTCTTGCTGTCAAAGTGCAACAGTAGACTAGTCCCGGGGGTGTCAGAGGTAGGTGTAGTGACAAATTGGGCGTGGAAGTTTGTCCGCACACCGACTGACTTCAAGCCATGATTGTGGTCGCTCATTTTGAGCAGCTTCGCGCGTGCTCTTCGCAGCACAGTCTTGGAAAGCGGTCTATCTCCTCGATTCCTCACAGCAAAGGCTGTTGTTCTGTGAAAGTCCCGTATTTGCTTCTTCCTTTGCTCTTTCTTGCGGGCGCGCCCATTGCCAGAACCACCTGGCGCTTGTGATGGGTAGGCTGGACCAGGGTGACTACCGCTTAAACCACGGTGCAACTGGGCACTTGACGACTTCAGATGCTTGACAGTCAAATGGCGGCTGTATGAGGGTAAGGGAGAAGGTATGGGAGGTGTGTTCAATCGTCTGGCCAGGAGCCGGTACGTGCATGAGGCCTGTCGGCGAACAAGAGCAGGAATAGAGGAAGCCAGCGCGACAGTATGATTACGATAATAGATGACAGACCATGAGATAGCAAACGTACAGTCTACTAACCCATGAAGAAGCCAACTTATGCCAAAGGAGTGTGGGATGGTGCCTCTAAATAAAGATGGATGAATTGGCTCGAAAAATGTTCCCGTCTGGACAAATAAAATAGAAATCTGTAAATGCGTCACTACGCGCACCACGGTCTCCACAAAATTATACGGACTTGATGCCCTGGAAACTTACGATCAATATGCATGGAAAGTACGGATAGGAGTGCTGGAAAATCGTTTGCATATGTACGTAGATACATCTCTACGGCCATTAATAGTCTGCCTTCAACTTCCTTCGATTGTGAGAACTGAATATATAAATCTCGTAGAACAAAAGTGCACCTAATTCAGAGAAGTCGACCAGGTTCATAAACCATGTGCTACCCAAGCACCCCCCGAAACCAGAAGGACGGATGATATGTCCATCACTCATTCACAGTACCATTGTCATGGATAAAAACCCTTGCTTTACGTGCTCGGAGTAAAGTCTGATAGTCTACTGCAAGCTTCATCCAAGATTGAACACATACGTCTCAGTCCTTCCAGCTTCTCCTCGTCTGTTACGCTGTCATCCGTCGGCAGCGCGGTCAGGTCGACATCGGGAGAAGACTGGCTGCAGACAGGTATAGAAGAATCGAAGTACAATGCATAAGCCTCGCGGTCAAGTACGACCGAATCATCGACCTGAGTGGGGCTCGTAGGCTCAACCTGGCATTCAATCGAGTCAGGAGACTCTGGTATGAGGGGCATTGTCTTTACAGGCTTCGACACACTCGGGATTGAAGCTGACTTCGAGGAAAGAGCTTCAATGTCAAGGATAGGGGCTTGTGGTAGTTCCCTTAGCGCAAACACCTGGAAGTCGTTCGATGGTAGAGCAGTCATCCACGCAGTGGAGGGCTGAAATGCCGCGAAATCCATGGGGATCTCCGGAACTAAAGCCATTCCGATTTGAGGTTGTTGAACGTGCATCTGTTGAGTGCCATTGTGTGTGGCAACGTCTTTCTTGACAGGTTCGGATTGAGGTTGACTTTGATTTTGACCGGGCTTTGGTTTTGGAGCGTCAACTTGGACGTTTGGCGCTGGAAGGCCGGACTGACTCAGCTCCTGCAGGAACCCAGAAAAGGCCTGCGATGAGAGCAACATGCGGGTGAGATCTGTGAGACGAGTGTTTTCTTCTCGGAGTTGCTGGTTCTGTGTTCGTAGTTCATTTGCTTCCTGTGCCTTGGCAGCAACCTCGCCTTCTAATTGACCGATGTATTCTAGAGAGCAGTCAGCATGGAGAACATCGAAGGCCAGTTACGTGACCAGAACTTACCTTTTCTACGAGACCGGAATGCACGAGCGGATACTTTGTTTCTGAGCTGTCGTCGTTCCTTGCTAGACAGTTTCTTGCCCTCTTCACTAGCCAGAAGTCTTTCATCCTCGTCCATTTCGTCTTCGTCCTTCTTGATCTTCGGCATGGCCGAGATACCGCTGATAGAGCCATCTTCCTCTGAGTGAGATACGACACTAGCCTGTCTCATGCGGTTAAGGACTTTCGAGATGCTCTCCTCAACAAGAGGATCCTTGGTAAGGGGAGTCTTGGTAGGTGATGGACCCGGGAGAGGTTTCTGTCCTGCAGGTCGTTGTTGTTGTTGACGAGCCATTTGTTCCTGCTTTTGTGCTTGTTGAGCTTTGGCTTGAGCAGCCTGCTGACTGTGCATGCCGGGGTAGATCCGTTGGATGGGGGCGGAACTGTTCGTACCCGTGCCCACCAATGTGGTAGGGCTGACGAATTGGTTATGGCTGGAGGATTGGTCGGGGAAGAACATGGCGGGCAAATCGTTCGGGGAGTCTGTCTCAAAGTCCATGTCGGCAGGGTTCTGCTTGAAATCAAACTCGTCCAGGTTACTCAATGGCATATTCAAGGTTTCAGTTGGCATGACAAAGCCACCGGTCGATTCGTTGTAGTGAAGTCCACTGGCTCTGTTGATGTTGAACGTGCTCGCTAATGCTCCGATCGGAATGCCTGTTTGTTGATGATACGCATCATACTGGAAGCTCGGTGCAGGAAAGGATTGAGTCGACGCGGACGAGGCAAACGTGTTGGACGATTGAGGAGTCAGCATAGACACTGACCTCGCGTTGGGAGTCGATGACGGTGTGAAGTCCGTGTCGAGATTGAGAAAAGAATCGGGATCAAATTTCGTGTTGAGGTGGTTCATTCTGGAGATGTTGTTGAACGTTGTCGACGAGTGGTGTGTTGGTCTGCGCGGCTCGCGATGTTGCCTGAAATTAACGGACTCGACGGGCCGCCTGCGGATGACGATGGTTCTGAGAAGGATGGACGTGAGGTCGCTTTGAAGAGGTTCTGGGGAGGATAACGAGGATGGTCGAGGCGCAATGGAGTGTGTGGGAGGAGGAGGAGTGAGAAGGGAAAGATTGGAAAGGGATGAGAATGAGAAGTTGGCAGTGGGCAGTGAGCAGCCGCTGGACCAGGAAGGGATGAACCACGGCGCGAGGAGAGCGTGGGCTGAGAGCGAGACAGAGACAGAGACATCGGCCGAGCAGACGCCAAAAGACGAAGTTGACTGAGGCTGTGCCTTGATTCACCTCGCAACTGGGCCCAATCGGAGCCAGGCAGTCGGAACACCGGCTTCACCCACTCCGGCGTCCCATTGAGAGAGGCCCCGAGCCACCTCTTTAGGCCACTGCAGCCGTTGGATTTTCCACATCTCTCCCTTAGGCTGCCGTCAAAAAGAGTACCGAGTGGCCAGTGCACAGCAATTAGTGAGTTCACGTTATCCGTCCACCTGCTCATGCAGCGAGTGCCGTGACTCCAGGTGTACAAGTCCTTTACTGGTGCTGGCAGATCAGCGTGGATTCTATTCATGGCAAAAACCCAGTTCCACATGCAGTATCTGTAAGCTGAGTTTATACTGTATGTCGCGGCTTGCGAGGCACGCACAAGTGCCGGGCAGTTAAATCAAATCTGACTGCAACCGACAGACTCCTCAGTATGTGAAGTCTCGCTCTGTCCAAAGGGTCCTTCATCGTTTAATTGGGCAAAACAAGCACTGTGCCCCGAAACACCCTTGAAACAGCCCCTGTGTGCTGTAAACTGCCGAAGCTATGATCGGTCATCCCTGAGACTTGACTGACAGCCCACAAAACACAGAGCACGAGGTACCTGAGTCTCCTCGCGCGTCTAGCCTCAAGCAGTTGGCCCGATGTCACCTATCCAAGGCCTCTAGCAAAGGGGTCCTTGCGAATTGCACGTGTGATGTCCTCCCATAATCCCTTCCGCCCCAGAAAGATGCCGTTCAAGGGTACACCTAAGAGCGTGCCTACGGCCTCCGGGGGCCCAAAGCGTCCAATTGATCACGGATCTGCTCGAAAAATGACGTAGTCCTGCAGCCACAACTAAAAGTCATTCGCCCTGGGCAAGTCCCGTGTGTTCCGGTGAAAAGTCATCAAAAGGGCGAACGCAGAGCCGGTTAAAGGTTAAAAACGCACCAAACGCAACCTTAGGGGTTGAGCACACTCGAGATGCCACGTGACACCACGTGAGTTCAACTGTGCCACAGACCGCCACACTGCACCGCCACACCACTCTGCTGTCGACCTCTTACTGTTGTTCCTCGTACGAGCAGATTTGGCGTCCATCTCCGAGTTTTTCATCCCTCTCGTCGTCGATCAAGCCAATGTGAGATTGTGACTAATTGTTGCTGCTTACTGCAACTCAACCTTGTCCTCGGTTGAGCCATCCGTTTCGATATTTCGCTTGCCTCTTCCGCGTGTAGCCTCATCCTTTACCCCATCCACGTCAAACGTGCTTGTTAATCATGATAGAGCTTTGTTGATGTCGGGTTTTCCGATGCCAGAAATCATTCGACGTTTTCACTCCCTCTCACCATGGCTGAGGCTGCTTTCAAGCAGATGATAGCAACCTCGTTGCGCCAAACCAGGCCACAATCCTTTCGCCACACGAAACCACTTCGCTATCCCCAGCGTCCATTGTCGACTACGCCGGCTGGGCAACCAAAGCCGGCTCGAGACACTCCTCAATGGCAAGCACATAAAGTGCAATCATCAGGCCAACCTGCACGGGAAAGACGTCGCTTGGACAAACTGCGCAACGAACATGAACCGCGGTCCTTCTCCTCTTTTTTGACCGACAACTACTCCAGGGAGCACAACTACCTGCGTATATCCGTTACCGAACGTTGCAATTTACGATGCCTTTATTGCATGCCGGAGGAAGGTGTGCCGCTGTCCCCGTCGGAGCAGCTATTGACCACGCCGGAGATCATCTACCTGGCCGAATTGTTTGTCAACCAGGGCGTAAACAAAATTCGATTGACGGGTGGTGAGCCGACCGTCCGCAAAGACATAGTCGACCTCATGCATCAGATTGGAAATCTCAGGAAAAATGGATTGAAAGAGCTGTGCATAACTACAAACGGGATATCCTTGCACCGTAAGCTGGACTCGATGGTCGAGTCTGGTTTGACTGGGGTGAATCTAAGCTTGGACACCCTCGATCCTTACCAATTCACCATCATGACCCGCAGAAATGGGCACGACGCCGTCATGAAGTCCATCAATCGTATCCTGGAGATGAACAAAATCGGCGCAGGGATCCGGCTGAAGATCAATTGTGTGGTCATGCGCGGACTGAACGAGAGAGAAATACTGCCCTTTGTTGAACTTGGCAGAGAGCAAGACATTGAAGTGCGCTTCATCGAGTACATGCCCTTCGATGGCAACAAATGGTCAGAAAAAAAGATGATCAGCTTTGGCGAAATGCTCGCGCTTATTCGGCAAAAGTATCCGGATGTACAGAAAGTCCAAGACCACAAGAACGACACGAGCAAAACATACCAGATCCCCGGCTTCGTTGGTCGCATGGGCTTCATCACCAGCATGACGCACAACTTCTGTGGCACATGCAACCGACTCCGCATCACTGGCGACGGCAACTTGAAGGTCTGCCTCTTTGGAAACGCCGAAGTATCCCTTCGTGATATTCTCCGGGAATCCAACAACGGAAGACCTATTGACGCCGAGGCCATGGAGGCTCTCAGGCAACTCGAGATGGATAGGCGACAAGCCCTTCCAGATAGTACTGGTGAGTTGGGGGTTTCCGAAAAGGAAGCTCGACTACTCGACGTCATCGGCATGGCCGTCAAACGGAAGAAGGAAAAGCACGCCGGCATTGGCGAGCTAGAAAATATGAAGAACAGACCAATGATCCTAATCGGTGGGTAAGCCATATCAACAAAATGTCCCTAACCCCAGGTGTTTATGATTTGTACGGCAATATAAAACGTATTCTCTCTTGGATATCAGCGAAGTTTTCGTAATGAACATAGACCGATATTCAAGTTTGAATCCACGCTCTCCTTCAAGATCTTGTCTTTGCTTGTGTGGTCAGTTACGGTGCTGACTTATTTTGTAGATGACATGCCCTCTCTTTCCACATTTCTTTTACCACAATTGCACTCAGAACTTCGATCCAGCGCGCATCTCAGCAGAGTACACTCATCGTCTGTCCCGTTCCACCTATTAGCAAGCTCGACACCCAACATGTCGCGCATACACTGGCGGCACTTTTCGTCCTCCCCAACTCGCAGTTCAGCATTCGCTCGTCGATGGTATCACGATTCGGCGCCCCAAAAGACAGGATCGAGACGAGTCTTGTCAAAGAACACATTCCGCTACATTCGTTGCCAAGGAGACTTTCGCTTTCTTCCGACAAGTGAGCCGGAAAACATCCCTTCATTCAGAAGTCATACCTGGTCAGAAGCCCGGGCTCGAGTCAAAACGCGCAAGTTGTCTTCTCAAGAAAATGTGCGGCACAGCTCCTCCTCGTCGTCGTCGGAGTTTGACAAGGATCCACCCGAGCTGAACCATCTCACAACAGACGGTGAAGCCCACATGGTTTCGATCTCGGGCAAGGTTCCAACAAGACGGTCGGCCACAGCAACGACGGTCCTCTTGTTCTCTGACCCTCAAACATATAGAGCCTTGCTCGCAGCTCGTCTGCGCAAGGGCGACGCCATAGCTGTGGCTCGCATTGCCGGGATCCAAGCTGCCAAGAAGACGGCCGACCTGATTCCGCTTGCACATCCAGGCCTATGTATTACGGGGGTGAGAGTCCATCTGGAACCGTTCATGAGTGATCAACTCCCCAAGCCGTTCACCGCGGGGCCCCTGGCACTGGGCCAAGACGCGTTGAAGTATGGCGGCGTCGCCGTCACGGCTACCGTGGACTGTGAAGGCAAAACAGGCGTGGAAATGGAAGCCATGTCGGCCGCGTCCGTGGCCGGATTGACCATGTACGACATGCTGAAGGGCGTGGACAAGGCCATGGTCCTGACAGCGACTCGGGTCGTCGCCAAGAGCGGCGGCAAGTCTGGAGACTGGGTGTGGGATGAAAAGTCAAACTCCATTGTGAAAGTCGGCGTTGCCGTCGACGACAATAGGGCGGTGGACCGAGCGGGGCCGGCGGCCACGCCAAAACGTCGCGACACTAAGACGAGCTTGACGAACGCCATCAAAGCCGATGATGACGCGGACGTGTTACGAGCTCTGGAGCAACAATATCACGAGATCAAGAATAAGAAGATTGCCAGTTGGACCTCCCACATGCAAAGGGAGATTGACAACGGTGTTCTCATGCCGAACATCCATTATCATTGGGCGCGGTGGCCTGTGACGACGACGCCGCCTCACAGCGGCAGCGGCAGCGGCGGCGGCGGCGGCGGCGGCAGACCAGATACAAAAGAAGAACGACGGGCCTCGTCCACCACCACCACTACTAGTAGTAGTCCGGCTGTCCCCAACTTTGCGACGAACGAGCAGCACGAACAGGCCGAAGCAGTTGCAGTACCGGTCGAGTCCAAGATGGCTCGAAGAGCAGGGGACTGCGAGGCTTCGGATTCGTTCACGACGACCCTCTTGCGCCGAGGCAGAGTTGGTACTCGTGAATTCCTCTCTACGAGACGCCAGCGGTTGGTGGACATGCTTGAGAATGGGGGAGTTCCATTAACGACGGAGCGAGGTTCTTATTAGTTAAGAGATACCTACCTAATGTCTGCCTGGGTCTATCTATGTATACATGCATGCGTACGTGTATACATGTACAGTATTATAATTATAACTCTATGGGCGTTTTTTTCCCATCTGACAAAGAATTCAAAATAACTAATACATGAATACTCCAACTGACCTTTGTTGCTTGCTGGTTCGAACCATGACTTGTCTACCTTACTAGGTAACATCAACTCCCTACCTGCTAGATGGCTGAGAACGATTGAATCGGGTTTTCGGATATGTATGGCAGCAGGCTTGACCTTGGACTAGGTACACTCACCTACCTGCCTCCCCCCCCCCC